GCACAAATGGTTTGAGTAGTTAGGCTAATAGCAGACAACTAATTACTTAGATGATGTAATAATTAGAGTGTCCACCCCGAGGCAATTACGTTTTTACCCCGGGGAACGGGTTCCCCGTGAAAAATTTAACCCGGGGTTCAGCCCAGGGTAAAAAATATTTGAAATAAAAGATACTTGATTAAGATTTTTATTGATTTATAAATCGTATTTAAAAAAATATCGAACAAATAACAAGGCTGACAAAGGTTTATCACATTTTTGTTCAAGCTTGTCGTAAAAGTAAACAGATCTGGAAAATCTCACAGTATAAAAAAACACATGTTACAGAATTTAAGTCTAATCGAATACTCATATGTCACTTTCAAAATACCTCTATAAGACGTCATTTTTATTAAGTTTAAAGCATTATAATAAAAAGATTCTTTAGTGAGCTCAAATCTATGTGAATTAGGGCGATTAAAGAAAATTAAAAAAAAGCGATTAAACTCGTAGCCAACGATTTCTTCAGATCTTTCTTCTCCCAAAATGTTTCTCTTTCATTTTCCAAATTCCTTTCACCAGCCCTAGCAAAGGTTTTACCCTTTTTCACTGACTTATATTTTAAATCTATGGTGCGTTTCCTATAAACAACGACGATCATCATGATGACGATGATTTTGATGAGGACGATGGTTTTTATGAATTATTGTTATGAAAAAGATATTTGTTTAGTAAAATAGTAAAGATTTGCCCCGGGGTATTTCAAGTATTTTACTCCTGGGCAAGGGGTGAAAAAATCGCTAAAATACCCCGGGGTGACGGGGTCGGAGTCCCCGGGGTGGACACTCTAGTAATAACTTGACAAGTAAAATAGTTACCCATTTTCTATTAATTTCGGTGCCTAAAACTTACTTTTCAATTACTATGGTTAAAATGAAATGTGTGTTACCGCACTAATCGAATATTGGTTATAAAAAAATTTAAGCGCATTAATCGAGGAATCCCTGTATATCCAGATATGAAGTAGTATATTTTAAGTTGAGGTGGATAAATGACTAAAGATTTTTTGGATGTGTTTTTGCTCATTTGTTCTGTAGATGGAAATTATTTCAAAAGCAATGCCATTGTTAATATATTTAGAAATATTGTGGAACAGTTCGATAAATGCAAAGTAAGTTAAGTTATCTTAAATTTGTAATAACCATTTTGAAGTTAAGGAGTAAGTGCTGAGCTGTTCCGGTTTGGAAATGTGGTCACCTTAAATTCTAAGAATTTATGAGTGAGATGTTCTTTTATTCATTAAAATGGGAAAAGATGGACTAGTCATATTACTTCATAAATATATTTACATATTGTTTGAGATAAGTTTCTTCCTGAATAAATAATATCTTCATTGCCTTAAAATTTTAAATGCATGATAAAATTGGTTTCAGCACATACTCGTTTACTGATTTTATTATTTATATTTTTAAAAAGAAGTATAATAAGTATAACATCCAGAAATATACGCTTAATAACATTACTTTTGTATGAAATGCAGGAATCGTTTAAAAGCTTTTCCAATGAAAACAATAATATCCAAATTTTCTAACAAGGCCTGCTACGTACAAAAAAGTGTTTTTGCAAATTTCGTATCACCAAACTGACTATGTAAAAATTATGTTCTTTAAAACAGAAGAAACTTTCTGTAAGTTAAATGACTATGGTATCGGTGTTGTCTTTATGTGCTGTAGAAAGTAAAAAAGAAAAAAGAAAATTGCTTATTTGGTTTTTCTTGGAGTTTTTGTATTTGTGTTTTCTCCATTCAGTAAAAAAAAAAATTACCCTTTTACCACCTAACGTTCCCATATGGGAGAACTGTAAAATCTGAGGGTAAAATAAAACTTGCTTTATTTTATAAAACGTTTATCATATGCATTTCAATGTAGAAGGGCTAAGAAATCTGAAAATCAGTTTTAGACAGATTTAGTTAACTTAATTTTTAGTTATTTAAAAAGTTGTAATTTTTGTATTGCTCACAATATAGAATTAAAT